CTGCTACATGTCACAAGTTTAAACGCAGCAACCGTGTCTGTCTTCTTCCGTAGCGAATGTAAACAATCTTCCGGAAGTGTGCGCACCAGAAAACGGGAAATCCCTGTCGCTTCGATATTTAAGTCGATTTGATTAATTATTGATATCTAAAGTGTATAATATTGTTTGAATAATTAAGAGATAGACTTCTAGTTTTAGTAGGTACATTATATGTATATATTTTGGGAATAATAGAAGTTATATCGTACATTCTTGTAAAGCAAGTGAGATTTCCGTTTTCGCGCGAAACAGAAATAGAATAGAAATATGACGTCTGTCGGAATTCTCGTTTTTCTCCCTTTTCATTGGCAAGAAGTTAAGGACCCAAATTCCAGCCGGCGGCTCAAATATGAACAAGAAGACGTTGTGCAAAGTCATTAAAATCATGAAACGTAAAAAGTCAAAGTCAGCATCCGCAATATGTAACTCTGGATACACGATTGATGCAATTGTCATCAACATAGCACTTGTAGTTGGCAAGATAAAGATGAGAGCAATTTCTTCTCAACAATATGCACGGACGCACGGACGCACGGACGAACGGACGAACCTCATTTCTATATCCCCCGCCAACTCGTTGAGCGGGGGATAAAATAGTAAAAACACAATCGCTAACCTTTACAATAATGCACAATGGAAAAGAAACAAAACGATAGTCAATATTCGTCACTGTTGATATTATGTGACTTAAACCCCGTCTTTGCGTATTGCAGAGTTATCTTCTCTTGGGAGCAGGTATTGATTGTTACGTCACTTGTTTGTGAGAGGAACGTCATCAATTTTCGAGACAACGACGTAATTTTCTCACACAAACCAATGACGTAACAATCAATAACCTGCTCCCAAGGAAAGATAACTCTGCATTACGCAAAGACGGAATACATTCAACGTGAGTTCTGTGTTCTCTTGGACGAAGAAGATACTGCTCAATTTTGCACATAACGTCATATCGATATCATCTTCATTGCATTTTCATCCATATATGACAACCCGTTGTCGGGTTAAATATGACCGGGCGAACTGATGTGCTGGGATTGAATTTCAGTAGGGTAGCACTACAAAGTCGACATCAGATCCGCGCTATCTCAAGGAGGCAATAACACCAACATACCCTGTCTCCAGCACACGTACACACATGAATGCATCCGTTATACGCATGGAGCCACACCCTTACATGATCTTAGCTGTTGATAGGACGTTCAACCCATTAAAACTAAACGAACTCATCGAGACATGAAAATGATAAGAGTTGAAAACAAAATATGTTATTACCAAACTTTTATGAGTATAGCGATGCTTACTTCCGCTTTCGGTATCAATCACATATTGGAGCCGAATGAGCGGATGGCAAGTGAAAATCCGAAAATGTCAGTCAAAAGAACCGGTGTCCACGGTACAATATGAGCATATTGTGGTCACCGCTGCTGCCTTTCGAATAACTGACCATGCATATTGACAAAAATTAAACGAGACCGATTTTCGGGACGAATGCGCTGTTTATTTCTTGGAAAGTGATTTAAAGGATTTGGCTCGAACACTGCGCGATTCATTCCAACATAATTGATTGACATTGAACAGTCAAAGGGATTGGGCTCAAGTTCCTACAAGGTAGTAGGCCCTATCACTGCGCGATAGAAATGTGAAAGGGGTTTACCAGACGAGCGAGTTTGAAAATAAATACCAAAGTTGTTCTTACTTTGTTGACACACCCTACGGTTAAAATTGCATGGCTATTTAAAGATGAAAGTACGCGTACGATTTAGATTCGTCATTGCCAGTGTTTACCTTCAGCAATAACTGGAAAAAAATATATTGATCAAAATGCGCGTAATGATAACCGCAGACGCCAGTCCAATTTGGACCGTTTGTTTGGTTTAGCACGAGTTTGATAAATTGAATATCGGAGGAAAACTGGGTTACTTGTTACAGCACAAATACTCATGACACATCGGTATTTGCGTAACCTTGTTTTTTTCTTTCGACTTTCACCCTGCAGATTGGGCGTTATACTTGTACCTGCTGCCCCCATTGCATGCTCGTAAGAGGCGACTTAATTTGGAATCTTATCTTTTCTCTTCTTTCTAAACAACTTTCTTCTTCCAAACGTCTCCCTTGACAATGCCTCACTTTTGGGTTTTGTTGAGGGTTCGCCCCTGTGGCGAAGGCTTCGGGTTCTGTCCCCTGGCCGGGACATACCAGAGTCTGTAAAAATGGTAGTTTATAGTCCTGCTTAACGCTCAGCAATTTAGGAGTGGGACGACTGGTTCGCCCGTTGTCAGTATAATGTGACCGCGTGGGATGTCCTGCTGGGTGTCTTCGGCAGTATGTTTCAGTGAAGTAGCACTATAAAGTCGGCATCAGTTCTGTGCTATCACAAGGAGACAAACACGAACATATCGCAGCCTCACAAAACACACACGCATACACTACGCGCATACACTACACGCATGCATCTTGCACACAGGGAAGGCGGTCCTTAAATTACCATAGCAGTTGATAGGACGTTACACGACACTAAACCCAACCAATCTATCGGTTTCGCCTGATGGTGTGTCATGCACGTGACAACCAGCATTGGATATCATCCGGTCACATTTATACTGACAACAGGTTTGCTAGTTATTGCCGTGACCCGAAACGCTAAACGTTTAGATGGAAACGACAAGTGGTACTTTGAAGACTTTGGTATGCCCCAGCCTAGGGTCAGTAACCAATGCTTTGAGGTTCAACAATAAGGCAAAATATAAGGTATTGCCAAGGTAGGCGATTAGAAACAAAAGCAAAAAGCTAGTTAGCAAGTACAGTTTGGTTATCTAGATATCAAATATCGAAATGGTTTAAGACGATTTATTCTGGTTCCTTCTCCATCAGAAACATTCCATCTCCGGGTTTCTTGATTATAAAGAAGGAAATGTATTAAACGCATTAGCAGTCATGGCTTTTTTGTAATGCTAATTAATATCAAACAATACTTGTCTTTTTAAGAATATAGATATAAATAACATAATATAGATTTAACAGAACAATATTTTTGTCAAGACCTGCATGTGCTGGAATTATCGTCTGCAAGTTAAATGTAACACCCCCACATGTGAAATCACTCTAAAATGTTTGTAATATATATAGTATATCAAATATGAATTACTCCGCACCATGCAGCTTTTCTGTCATTCAAGGACTCTTTGGTGGTGATGCTAGGCGTTAAACGGTTATAATCTAAACTACTGTTGAAACAGACGGGGAGGTCCGTGCAAACCCATTGTTTCACGAATTTTTAAAATTAAGAGGAATATATTTCATTTAAAATTTAAATAACTAATGAAATGTATATATTATAAACCGTGCCATAACCCAAAACTAATCCTTGTCGCTATCAAGACTGTGGCAAACCTCGGGGGCCTCCACCAGCAGATTAAATCACCCTTCATCTCAAAAGATGTATGTAAGACACTCACAGGTCTATGTACATACAAAAGTATTTGGCCATGAAAACTTCATGCCAATTAAGCAATGAATGTTTTAGCAAATATTGTTATGGTCCTGTAACATACATTTCTATTGATGACAAACTTAATAAAGCCCGGCAGAGCTCTATGTAAGTTTGTCAGCAATATAAATGTGTGTTATAGGCTATAACACTATTTGCTAAAATATTCACTGTTTATATTTACATTTTGATAGAGTAGTTACGAAATTGATGACGTCACAATATAGATTGATGACGTAATAGCAAATGTTGTTATAGTCGCATAACAACATTTGCCTTCTCAAAGGATTGCAATGGAAGGATGCAGAGCAAATGTAAATACAACTGAATGACAGTGTACCATACAGTTGTTATGGTTATACTTGTGTTATTGACAAATCGGATTACGGAATACACTATATATTTAGTTATTATCCCTCTGGAATATCAAAGTTTTACTTTATACACAAACAATATACGTCTTAAACGTGTCGCAACGTTTCAAAACACCGTTTCAAGACCATCCTCGATATTCCAGTTGTTACGCTCACTTTTGTTCTCTGCACCCCTGGAATATGTCTTGACAAAATTGAAGACACGAACATAGCTGTTTGATTGGTATCAGGAAAAAAACACTGACCAATCGCTAAGCTGATATCTGTCCTTTGAAGACTACAAAGGATAAAAGCCCGACTTCAAAGCCTGTCATTTTTTACCGTTACGTTACCGCGAGAATTGTTGATGTATATCAAAGGATCGAACTAGTCTTCTAGTCTCATCAACAAGGTGACGCACACTGAGCCTGACATATTCCAGGGGTGTAGAGAGCGTACATGTAAGTAAGCGTAACCCCCGCGAGTATCGAGGATGTTTCAAGGCCGACTGGTCCCTTTGTGAAGCTGTCACTCGGTCATAGATTGACAAAGGGACCGGTAGGTCTTGAAACGTTGCGACACGTTTGATAGTACATTGTCTGTGTGTAAAGTAAAACGTTGATGTTTGATGAGTCTTATTGCAATAAAGCAGTTTTTCTTTTCTTTTTTATATTGTATGGTCAGACTTTTCAGTGTCAACATACCTTAGCAGTTTATGAATTGTAAAGATGACAGGCACGATGTATCAATACCGTTATAAATAACAACAACATATAGGTAGCAATACTACACTTGCATCATACATCACCTTTGAAAACAATTATTTACGTATAGTATTACTGTCTTGTCCGCTAGTTGAGTCCGACATGGCACATGACGGCGTGATATTGTTATCTTCACTGCCTCACTTTCGAAACAACCACGTGACATATATAAATAGATCTGCGCTAAATTTACGCGGTGCTTCCCCGAGATTTCAGTGGTCAAAACTGGACATTGCAAGCAGAACTCGACCATCATATTGCCGTGGTATAACTTTTGGAAGGCCAGACAACGCATTTAGACCCATTTATTTTGTCATTTTTTCCCCGACCAGCCCCTTTAAGCATGGTATTTTCATTATACATGTAACTATACCATGAGCGAGGTTATCATATCTAAACGAACGGAGCACTTAAGCGAAACACCCACGCACAAACTACACCTGTGAGGTTCTCTCCGGTGAAAAAATATACTTGGCTATTTGAGTGTAATATTTACATACAGACAGACAAAGGCATGAATGTCGGAATGTAATATACAATCTACACCTTCTCGGCATTTCGTTTACCTGAAGACGATGCAGAGCTGGTATCAAGGTGAGTTACTGAGATTTCCATTGTTTTTAAACAAGTGACATACATGTACATTTTGTAGGTGCCTAATATATAATCCGTTTGAGGTATGTTGTTCGTGTTTCTTCATATATCATTGTTTCATGTGTTCCGGATGTTTCCTGATATTTTAATAGTTATATATATATATTGCTCTATATGTTAGCCATTCTCATATGCGTCTTTTGTCTCAACCGTGCTAATGTTTATTATATATAAATCGAGCATATCTGCCTACCTAAAAAGGGCCTACACATTAGCCAGTGCCGTCAACAACGTTTTCGACCCGACATTAGAAGTTAAACAATAGTTTTTGTACAATATACCCCTTATTTTCTCTTTACATTTCTAACTAATTTTTGCTAACGTTTCGACAATTCAGCGAGGAAGTTTCTCTGTTTTATTTCATGGCTAAAAAAACCGTCGACGCGTGGTTTTATAAGTTACAGGTCACGGATGGGGAAATCTGTTGTAATTAGTGGTCTTTGTATGTCACCTTACTGTGATCAGCCAGAACAGGAAGGTGACATACTAAGGACACGGATACAGATTTCCCCTTCTCATAAAACCACGCGTCGACGGCAAGTTTTTTAACCATAGAATAAAACAGAGAAACTTCCTGGCTGAATTTGTCGAAAAGTACAAACAATGAAATAAGAATATCTTCCCCAAACGTGGACTATACAGATAATCTGACTAGCTATGCCTACTATTACATTACTATTATGGTAGCCATATCACATACAAATGTACCTGTAATAATTATATTATATACAAGTGAAACTTGGAATGTGTGTGTGCGAGTGTGTGTGTGTGTGTGTGTGTGTGTGTGTTTATTGTATTCGTATGTGTATGAAAGTACTAGGATGTGTGTGTATGTACATACAAATGTATGTATATACATTCGTGTGCATATATAGGTTTATAATTTTTCCGTTGCCGTTGCTTACATATCCTTACACTCTAATTCTTGTACGAAAATAGTTTTCATACCACAAATGTATATGCTGTTTTCATGACGTGTACAGACATGTCTACAGTATCCTTTAATCTCGGACCTTTCATGAATTCATGAATAAGTACGCGTGCCAATTCTCTGACGGCTCCTTCGTATTTGTTCATGTTTATATTCGGGCTAACATCAAATATTATCCGATTTACATTCGTGTCCATTAATGCCCCTTCACATATGCATTTATTTTTACACACGATCGATTTCGTATTTTTTTATTGTGTTCATTCGTGTATACAAACGTTTTTACATAAATGTTGTCACTCGTGTTACATTTTTGTATCTACATTCGTGTCGGCTTTCACGTACATTCATGATTTTATTGCTGTACATATTTTTGTCATCATTTTTGTGACATCCGTGTATATACTCATGTTTAATTAACGTCATCTGTCTGACTTATACAGGTTGTCCATATCATGTGATACGACTGGTAATTTTTCCAGTGTCATATTTCTAATGAGCACCCGCAAACACAATACTACAATGTCATTATTGTTTTTTTGATGTTGTGTAACTGTGGCAAATGTGTTTATATTGTTCCCCACCTCTTGTCTTTCATTCCCCACTCTTTGTCCCCCTCGCTCTTTCCTTTTAGTTATCCTTGTTATCTGACCTTGTTTCTTTTACCTGTTTACAAGGGGAAAAAAAGCTCCTGCATGGGGAAAAGAAGCATATTCGTGTAATTACAACAGTGTGGGCAAGATGTTGTTTTAAAATATTTTGGAGTGTTTTGCTCCTTTATTAAGACACATACACCGAAAAACGCGATAGTTACGAAAACGCGATAGTTACAGTTAATACGAACAAAATTATAATAAAATGAAATAAAGGCGTTATTTATACTGACCATTACAGTTGATAACAAGGGTCCTCGGTGGTCAAGTGGTTCAGGCGTATGACATTCTGCTACCACTAGCCCTCCACCTCTGGGTCGCGGGTTCGAGGCTTACGTGGGGCAGTTGCCAGGTACTGGCCGTAGGTCGGTGGTTTTTCTCCGGGAACTCCGGCTTTCCTCCATCACCAAAACCTGGCACGTCCTTAAATGACCATGGCTGTTAATGGGACGTAAAACACAAACAAACCAACCAAATGTTGATCACAAACAGTAGGTTTCATATATATATATATAACGTCATATAAAAACTTCTAAACATTATGGACTCTTCAAAATCGAAGGCAAGTCCCATTTACTACATATTTGTTGAGTTTAATGTATATACGACCGCTCGTCTTAGGTCGGGATAGGTTTATGACTGTCAACACTTTTACTAGGTGCATTTATATATGAGGTAGTGTGTGTTCTGTTTACATGTTAACACTTTTATTACTGTTCGACTGGTAAAGATTTATTGTATTGCACCTTTTTACTACCAGAACTCAAGTAGAGTCATACAAGGTCATCATTTAATGACTTTTTGTCTCGCCGCCACGAAGCGGAAGCGAGACTAGGGTGTTGCTTTTCCGGCGGCGGCGTCAACATTAAGTTTGTTTGCATTTAAGTTAATTTCACTGAAAGTATAAGTGATAGATCAACAAAACTTGGTCCATAGATGCATCTTAGGAAGTATATCTCAACCCATGTATCAAATACTGGATGCAACCTACCTTTCATGGTCCATTGACTTTGTCAGCATCTCGCTCAACAGTAAGTGTTTTGGTGTTTAAGTTAGTTTCTCTGAAACAATAAGTGCTAGACCAACCAAACTTTACATGTGGATTTATGGTCAAAGCGGGGCACAGGCGAGACATATCAATACGGATGTCTTGTGTAAAAGGGTAATAATTAGATAGCATAAGACAAAATAACCCATGTCGTTTATACAAACATAACTCCAGGTGTTAATAACCAGGTTGAGGTACCAAATACATTTTGTTTTGTTTAAATAAATAAAGTAGAAGGTGAACGAATAGACTCCAATGATTGAAATTGGGGCAGCACATTCTTATTCCCTTACAGACAGCTCCACTGCAGATTCAGGGAAAGAATAAACCTGCCGTGTCCCTCTACATGGCTTAAAAGGCGACTAATGCCGACCCCTTGAAGAATCGGTGGCTTTCTGCTGTGTCTTGTGCTAAGGGGACGTTGAGGAAATCACAATTAAACTGCTAATATGAAGTTTGGTTGGTGTAGCACTTATAGTTTCAGAAAAACTAATTCAAACGCAAAAAACTTCAATGACAATGGACAATGGAAGGAAGGCCGCTTCCAGCATTTTATGTATTGGTTAAGATGTACTACCTAAGATGCATCTATGATCCAAGTTTGGTTGGTCTAGCACTTATACTTTCAGTGAAAGTAAGTTAAACGCCAAAAAACGTAATGCTGACGCCGCCGTCGCCGGAAAAGCAACACCTTATAGTATCGCTTCCACTACTTCGTCGCGGCGAGACAAAAAATCATCCAACGTCCTTGTGATAGTTAGGAATAAAGAAATAAACCAAAGAGTTTCTGATAGCTCCATGTGTTGTCCTGTCCTCTCAACCTTATTGTTTTTAATGAACACAACCCCCTGATGACCCTCTTAAGAGGTGAATATGCTAGGGAGCTACGAAGAAACTCTCTTTTACATATATATATATATATATGTCAATGTTAATGCAGCGCTTTAACTACTCATTGGACACACAGAGTAAAAGTAACTGCAAGCATAACAACACCCTCTACATTCCTGGGGTTACGCTCACTTTCACTAGAGAGTAAGTGAGAGTAACTCATGGACTATCGAGGATGGCATAACAACACCCTCTACATTCCATGGGTTACGCTCACTTTCACTAGAGAGTAAGTGAGAGTAATTCATGGACTATCGAGGATGGCATAACAACACCCTCTACATTCCAGGGGTTACGCTCACTTTCACTAGAGAGTAAGTGAGAGTAACTCCTGGACAATAGAGGATGGCATAACAACACCCTCTACATTCCAGGGCTTACGCTCACTTTCACTAGAGAGTAAGTGAGAGTAACTCCTGGATTATCGAGGATGGCATAACAACACCCTCTACATTCCAGGGGTTACGCTCACTTTCACTAGAGAGCAAGTGAGAGTAACTCCTTGATTATCGAGGATGGCATAACAACACTTCAGGTTTTATTTTATGCAAACAAGATAAAATGTAAGAGAGGGCCTATCGAATCATGAATTCAAATGGACATCATCCTTCCGTTATTAGCAAATCTTTATTTGTATAACAACAATATAATTTGAAACTTATAAAACACTCCAGTATCAATTCAATGTGAACGATGTCAACAAAATGGCACATTCACCTTGCCATATTCAAATAATATCTGTGTTGTTTTTTTTTTTTTTTTTTTTTTTTTTTATATATACATTTAATAATCCAGGCATGCATACATCATTCGGGTTGGCTGGGGATGGGCTGCCCCAGCTACAACCCACAATACATGAAACACTCTCTATGTTCTTTCTTCACAAATCGACACTTGTTCATTTCTTTCTCTCACTTTTTCACACTCTCATACTGTAATTTCTTCTTTTTTACCTCACTTTTTTCACTCTCGTACAAACCCTCCTCACACGGAGGTAACAAAACAAAAATTAACACGGAAGTTTTGTCCGGTTTCCGGGTTCCATAGTTATGTTATCATGCATTTCCGCTGATTGTTGTGCACAGGGAGTGCGAAGGATTACAGAATGAATACAAGTGGTAATACTTATATTTAAATGACAGTGAAAGCTAATTATATCTTTTGAATGCCTCAGTTATATTATTTATCATGTTGTGTGACCCTGTTATGTTCAGTATTTGCATTACTTGACTATACTCAATCGGTTTTGTTTTACCTTGACCTCGGTCACATGTTTACAATCTCAATGTAATGCCCATCGACTCCGGATTCTGTATATCCCTGCTAATCGCACCCTGTTATGTTTAGCCGAATCTATTATAATAGCCTAAGAAATTTCTTTTAACTTTTTAATTATCGTAGCATTTTCATATACTGTCCATTTTATTCAAACATTAATATATTTTTTTTTAATTGTTTTATTTATTATTTCCAGACAAATCATATTCAAGTTTTATCATGATTAATATTCTGTGCAACTCTGAATGATAAAGTTAATAGATTATATTATGTACCGAGTGTTGGTTGCGTTAGTATGACTTTGTTGTTAATCTATGAAAGGAATATTGATTATCATATTTTCGTTTTCATCAGGTAAACACCGAGGCGTTACAGCATTTCTCCTGTGCTGTTGTTTTGCAATCTTCATTGTGTTTATCCTGTCTGATCAAACTAATATTGATGTTATTCTACCCATGGCGCTCAAGGCGTCCAAACCGACTATGTTTGTTTATCGCAAAGACTCACCTCTACGTGAAGGTACAGTATTACATTATTATCTAATGTTATGACTTTACCAAAAGACTGCATAGAATGTATATATGTAAAGTTTATGTTACCTAACGGCTACGTTTGCTTTTAGTTTAAAATATTTAAATTTTTATTTATATTTATACGGGAGTATATTCTGTCCTGGTATAAGGGTATTGGTTAATCTCATCTTTCTACCTTAGCTGGGTGGTCGGGTGGCGCAGTGGATAGAACACTTGCCTTTCACCAAGGTGGCCGGGGTTCGATTCCTCGATCGGACATGAAAAAGTATAAGGGAAACCTGCCCAACCACGTGGGTTTTCCCCGGTTACTCCGGTTTCCACCCACATTGTGTGCTAATATCAGGGCCAACAAAAATGATTTAACTTGTTTCACAATTGTTGTAAAACAAATAAAGTACAGTTTGTATTACAAAGATTGTTGCTTGTTTTTGGTCTAATGCCCATGTAAAACAAATACAAAGGGTGCTTGGGAAGACAACGCCGGAAATAAATGATAAGTAATAATAATAATTCGAGGTTCATATATACCACATTATCACAACCTATTTCTCAAGTTGTCTCAAAGCGGTTCACAAATCAGTATCCGTGGTTATAGGGCATTTGCAACCAGCAAATATATTTCTCAACTTCCCAGGGGAGCATACAGTCGGTGCTGCCATTTCGGCGCTCACAGCTAGCATTCAACAATTCTAGCACTGCTAAACCACATACTCATTTACAGGTGAGTAGACTAGAACAAGCGGAGTAACGTATCTTGCTCAAAGACACAACACAGTGTCGTGCCGTGACTCGAACCCGCAACCCTTCGGTCATAAGCCCGGCGTCCTACCACTAGACTACCGTGCCTCATAAAGAGTATAATGAAGTTAGAAGATATAGATAGCAAGTGTTGTATTGAGGAAGTATATCAATTCTTGAATTGCAATGTCCTCTAAGCAAAATACACTAGGAAACTCAGATTCCACAGGAACCCCCACATGAGACGCCCCTTATAAAAACATGCAGTCATATACAGCAGGTGGATTCTTTCCACGAATTTCCGGGGTTACGAATCAACTTATCTACCCTTAATTCATTGGCCCTTATATATAAATACCCATAATAATTGTTAAACTGTCATTTTCATTTGTTTCGCAAGTCAACATATGAGGAAGTCAATGGCAGCATTGTGCTTCGCATAATTTTGCCATTAAACACATCTTTGAAACAGACATAGACTATACAATTATATATAGATTGGTTTGGTGTGTAAGTGTTTCACGTCCTAATTATATAGCATTTAAGGATGTGCGAGGTTTTGGTGGTGGAGACGTCAGACGCCTTAATCACTCGGCCACTGCGGCCCCCTTATATATAGAATCCTCATGGTGGTTACCACTCTAGTTTAACTGATTATGTAGAGAAACTTAAAAAAAACAACAAAAAAAACAACAACAGTTATTTAAATTAGATCAAAATATCAATTAATACGATTAATTCTTATTTTATTCCATTTTTGTAGATAACGGCACAATTGCCAAAACTCTGGAAAAGAACGTTCGCATACTTTGCTGGATTATGACCTGCCCGCAGAACCATGAATCTAAAGCGAGACATGTTATGAATACCTGGGCAAAACGTTGTAACAAAGTGATTTACATCAGTTCAAAGCACAACACAACTTTTCCCGCTGTTGGCCTCAACGTATCAGAGGGACGGAAACATCTAACGACCAAAACGATGACAGCATTCAAATACATCTATAAAAACCATATAAACGATGCTGATTGGTTCTTAAAAGCAGACGATGATACGTATGTTGTGGTAGAAAATCTGAGACATCTTCTTTCATCATATTCCCCAAAGGATCCTGTGTTTTTAGGACAGCGTTTTCAACGTCATGTAAAGCAGGGATATTACAGTGGAGGCGCTGGGTACGTGTTAAGTAAGGAGTCAGTGCGAAGACTCGTCAAGGATGGAATAGAGACGGGGAATTGCAGTGACACAGGTCAGTGGGAGGATGTTGATGTTGGAAAATGTATGGAGACTCTCGGTATAAAACTAGGCAATAGTACCGATTCAAAGGGACGATCTCGGTTCCACTGCTTTGCCCCAGAAAACCATTTATTAGGACGATTTCCTAATGGTCACAAAGGATGGGAGCCTGATGTCAGAAGCGTATGTATCTCTTTGAAACATATTTAGATAAAAAAAACTGCTTCTTAAGTTAAACCTAAATGGAAATTCATATTGGGTATCAAACACTTGGAACAGATCAAGAGGTTGTACCAAAATATGTTTGGGCATAAACCAGTTTACCGCCTCAACCACACAAACACGTTTGCACGTACACATCACACATGAATGCACGTCCTTAAACGATCTCAGATGTTAATAGCACGTTAAACCATATACAACCTAAATGATTTCGCTAGTTTGTCCAGGGTTTGGTATCCTCGCAATCAGCCAATGGCATATCACGACGGGTACCCAGGGATATACCACCAGAAAGAAAAATAATATAGATCGCAAATGTTGCAATAGGGGCGGGCAGCAGATCGATCTTGGTTTCACCAGCCTCTTAGCAAAGAACAAAAAACCCAACAAAAACAACAACAACAAAACAAAAAAAAACACAATATTTTCTTTCTTTAATTAAATAGCATAAACGTCACTGCTGATATTTAACACGAGTAAATACTCTTTCATAAAGCACCCACTGTTCAAGTTCCGAGCAAACCCGAGAGTTTCGCCTAATTGGTACCGATTTAATCAGACTGGTCGAGTGGGAGTGGCAACACAAAGAAATATCCACCAATGTGTTTCATACCAGCGAGTTTCCTATTACTGCACATTACAAGTGTATAATGGACACAAAATCTATTTATGTTTATATTGGTAAAGTTGAGTGCAAAATAAAGGGATTCGATATAACAACCGTTAACATTTGTGTATTAATTTTCTTTGAATTAAATCACCTTCATTGTACCCTACAACTAAAGTTGTTTCTTTATATTAGACCTTTCTCGTTTTGGGGTAGACCTAGCACGGAGCAAGGAGACAGAGACTTAGACAAGTAAATACAGGGGTCATTTCACAAATAGTTTTATATGGAACGAAGCGTATAGGTTATGTCAGAGTGTTTACACACGCATGCAGGTGACTATACGAATTTTATAAAATATAGTTGATGTATATGTTTACGTGTGGTGTTGTTTCTTTTTCAGGGATCAGAGACTATAAGCGAATATGCTGTTTCCTTCCACCATGTTCGTCCTGACAACATGTATGTTTACGAGTTCTTTCTATACCGCCTTAGACCATTCGGAATACACTTCAAACACATCACCGAGTAGTGATACGTGTTGAGACATTTATCATTAGGAAAACAAGCCAGGCACGTCACACGAATCTTCGTAATGATGCAGCTGATCGCATGCGATCTTTCGGAACAATGTTCAGATGCATTTACCATGTAAAAATAGGTGCTGCAGTATTGATCGCCTGAAACCGTTCGGAATCGTCACTTCGGAATAATCTACAGAACAGTGATATTGTTTTTTCTCCATTCATTGCCAGATAGTGAGTATATATACTTCATATAGATTTAACAATGCAATATTATGACTCTGATTTATAACTGACCAATAAAATAGGCGTACCAATGACGATTAATTTGGGTCGGAGTCACAAATAGGTACAAAGTGTCATGTCATCAATTTTAATAGCAACACATTGGTTCGTCTTCAGTTCAATAGGCTTTTTGTAAATTTATATTTATATAAACACTGTTAGAATTACTTCTTTGCCCCATATAGTATTTTAAGTAATTCGTATCCTACGAACATACCTCCATTAGGATCCAGTGTTATATGGGATTTTACCGTCTATATTACTTCTTTGACCCATATATATATATATATATATATGCCATACACCAAAGGAGATCTTGTATAAAAATCAAACATGCAGTCCATGATACTGTTTTATGAGTACCTAATAATTCTCCGTTTCATGATACGGGAAATGCACTACCGTAAATCTTTGCCATGGAAGCAAACACCTCAGAAATAAACAAACCTCGGTGGTACCATTTAAACAATTTAAAAGCCCGTCCATATAAGTTTACATCTCGTATATCCAATGTTTAAAAACAAAGAGCTGTTGACGAACCGCATAGCTCGCCTATTGGTGATATACGTTGTAAGATAGGAAATATCAATAGAAACACATGTACAGTAATAAAACCTTGATTAAGTTCTACATTTCAAAAGAAGAGGTGAACAGATGACGCAAAATAATCAACGGCGTATTTATTGTGGTGTTCCAACACTGCACATTAAAACTTCGACCAAGTCCAATTAACTCGTTCTGGATATTAAAATATGAAAATATGGTTCAGCACACTGCTTACACCCCCAGCTAAAAAGGTTTCTAACGTAGTAGCAGTTATGATATTTTGTTTCTGTGGTTGGCAAAAAAATAAATTGTTTTGTGTGCAAAATATTTGTTTCAATGTTTATTTCTATCTAATGATTTTGACATCAGTTCGAGATTTGCTTTGTTTTATATTAAACAGTAATGTAATTATTCAACGGTTAACGATAATTATGAATAACGATTTTTGTAAGCGTATTAATCTATTTAACTTTATTTTATTTCGCAATAACATTTCATAACATACATTTTATGCAACAAGGTTTCAGAAGAAGAAAAATCAAATTTATGTAAATCTGTCTCCTTATTAAAAAAAGTATACAAGCAGGCAGCGACAGGTCAGGTATAGAAAAAGAGGAAAGAAGCAAAGTAAAAGTGAAGGGAACGGAATACAGAAAGTGAGTAGATTAAAGGAGACAGGAAAGTGAGTTGACACTATCAAGTAGTCTTTGAGAGGCCAAATTATCGGTTGACACTGTCATTATATTCCGTCTTGCGTATTGCAGAGTTATCTTCTCTTGAGAACAGGTATTGATTGTTACGTCATTGGTTTGTGTGAGAAAATTACGTCGTTTTCTTAAAAATTGATGACGTTACTCTCACAAACAAATAACGTAACAATCAATCCCTGTTCTCAAGAGAAGATAACTCTGCAATACGCAACGACAGAATATGACGTCAGCTATAGTTGTATTTATAATGAAAATGTTATATAAATTAAACTTTCTATTTATAATGAAAATTATATCAATTTTAGCCTTTGTACTTATAATGAAAAAGTTATATTAGCATTTGTATTTATAATGAAAATGTTATATAAATTAACCTTTCTATTTATATTGAAAATTATATAAATTTTAGACTTTGTACTTATAATGAAAAAGTTATATTAGCATTTGTATTTATAATGAAAATGTCAAAAATCTTAGCCTATATATTCATTATGAAAATGATTAATATTTAAGCTTTGTATTTATTATGAAATGTTATAAACAGGTTATAAATACTTTCGATATGACACATTCTTATTTTTTTTTTATCAAATCCCACAATATCAAGCTTAGTTGTTAATGTCTGACATCAAATGTGTGTTACAAGAATACGCATCAACTCATCTCATACCGATGTTAACAATGAAAACACACACACACAAATTTGAGATGAGTTGATGCTTGTTCTTATAACAAACATTTAATGTCAGACATTAAAAACCGAAGTATCCGATGACAGCGGTACGGTAATTGATCAAACTCAGGTAAAAATATAGATGTAATATGATATGGAAATGTTCTTCCTCTATTAACACTCCGTTGGTCCTCATAAAAATAGAGTAATAGATAAAAAGGCGGTTACAATATGTAATTGTACGGTATCGGTTGAATCTCTGAATATTTGAGTTCTATTTTTAGCCCAACTTCCACAGAGGTTCGGGGCCCAATAGGGTAAATTTTGATGTTTTAAAACATATCAAACATATGAAGTTTTAACAGGTTTTTTCTGACAAGCGGGTAATACCCCAGATGTCGACTGGCATTTCTTTTCGACGAGAATGCAACCAAAGATCGTTATAGTTTCAATAGAAACATCAATAATAAGACCCGGATGGTTATTTGTTTCTGTGGTGACAGTGGGAGTGAGAAAAAATTGCTTATAAGTTATATGGTGACATTGGGAGTAATATCCTGATCATTTAAGTTTCTATGGTGACAGTGGGAGTGCGATTATGATTGCTATTGTTTCTATTGGGACAATGGGAATGATGCCCTGATCATTTAAGCTTATATGGTGACAGTGGGAGTGAGACTATAATTGTTAAAGCACAGGTGAAAAACTCAATTGAATAAAGGTGTAATATGATCCATGGATATTGTCTTCCTCTATTACATGTAACATTTTGCCTTTGTCCTTATTAAAATCGGAAAAAAGGGGAAATGCGGTTAACTGTATTGTATCGGGTGAATCTCTGAATGTCAACATTTTTATGTCCTTGTGGGGGGTGATTTTGCCTGTAAGTACATGTAGTACAAAAGTACTATCTGTATATATTTTATATTTTTATATATCTTTTTTTTTAAACTTTGTTTTCATGACAATATTTATCAGGCTAATCTGTTGAATATTGAATATAACATTAACTGAGCCTTGCTTGTAATTGTTCCTTAATGATGCAACACATATTTAGTATATATGATAAGCATAAATATAATAAATAAATACAATCAATCAAAAATAATATCGAAAGTTTGTTGGAAGGAACAAATTAATATAACACATGGACTATATTTCCAACCAGTGACACCATTTGTTATAAAATTACACATCAAAACATTTTTGCAATGATCAAATAGCAAAATTCTTGTGTAAAAACTAAGTTATATACAAAGCAGCGACTGTTACCGTATAAATCAACCGACTAGTGTATTATTATTATTTGATTCTTAATGGCCGATCAACACAAAAGAGGTTATTCGGATCATTAATAGAAAAAGAAAACATGTTAAAGAAAATACACCAAACGAACGAAAAGGTAAAAGGTTTTCTTTAATGCAATGATTTTAAAGACAAACGTCTTGAAATATTGTAAAAGTGGCTATAATTTAGTTTATCTTTTTGAACAGTTCAACATCTTTTAGATAGGTTGGAATTGGAGAGATGCTGACTGCCCCGCTCTGATTGTTTTCACACAAAGAACACGGTTGTTGATTAAATTGGATTTAATTCAACTTTATTAATTTTTCATAAGAATCACACAATGTATGGTTTTCTTTTAAGCAATGATTTTAAACCCATTACCACGCCAGAACAAGAAAACGCTGCCATCGATATTTCCCGCTTGCAGTGCAAAAATCATTACCAACTCGATGAATTTTCATTATGCAAATCACTAAAACATAAAATGTTTGCCAAATTCAGCATCTGCAACATGCGATCAGTAAATGAATCTTTACAGGTGATCATTCATGCAAGTATAATCTGTATATGCATCTCTTGTAGTAACTTAGATCTGATTTATGCAAACATTTTTTTCTTAATCTGAAATATACTTAAGTACTTTCCACCCTTCGTAATACACATGTTTTTCTTGTCGTATTTTCGTGTCGTCATTTCCGTATTGCGTATCGGGCATTCCATTACCGTAGTGTAAATTATATTAACACCGGGTAAACAATAGTACACGTGCGTGACGTGATGAGCCGCCGGCTGGGATTTGGGTCCTTAACTTCTAGCTAATGAAAAGGGAGAAAATCGGGAATTCAAACGGACGTCATATTTCTATTCTATTTCTGTTTCGCGCGAAAACAGAAATCTCACTTGCTTTACAAGAATGTACAATATAACTTTAATTATTCCCAAAACATATACATATAATGTAACTACTGAAACTAGAAGGCTATCTCTTAATTATTCAAACAATATCATACACTTTAGATATCAATAATTAATCAAATTGACTTAAATATCGAAGCGACAGGGATTTCCCGTTTTCAGGTGCGCACACTTCCGGTAGATTGTGTACATTCGCTACGGAAGATGATAGACACGGTGGCTGCGTTTAAACTTGTGACATGTAGCAGCCTATCTTCCATCCAATTTAAAGTATACGAATTGATGTGATAGTATGATAGCTGCAGAGCTAGACGATCAGTTCAGTCACTTCTCTTCCGTTTTTCGGCTAGTAATCGTGCTAAATGTTGGCCAGATTCAGGCGTGTGGGACAAGGGGGTGCAGGCTAACTTGCACGTCTACATTTATTTATTCAATGTGACTTGCAGTTTCAAAACACAAATAAGTTAATCGACTAGTCAGGTTTTCTGTACTTTAATAATATCAAACTGCATTATCTCGAGAATGTAAGGACGCTTCTTTGAGGCAGTTCTTTGGATGCATGGGAACACTTAGTACTAATATTAATACCCGACCTCGTCTGCCCCGATTACAAAAATATCGTCGTCAGAAAGCTACGTCATCGCAGCTAGGGAACACTCAGAAGAAAGAAAAACATGCTGTAAAATATGAGCATGTACAGCAAAGATTCCAAGGTATGTAAACATTAAGAAAAATATGTGTATTTTTTTATTGTATAATGAGATAAATGACCAAATGCTTTAAATGAATAGAAAGCGTCTTCAAGTGACAACAAGTGTCGCCAGACAAAATCTATACAAATACCGAATAAAAAAGCGACATGAGAAGATTTGTTGTCAATATGACTATAATACACCTTTATATCAAATTTCAATTTGATATTTGAAAAATTGACCGAGTTATGATGAATTTATTTTTTACGATTGGTGGCGTGGCACACGTGTGTGAATTGAACCCCGCAGATCGTGAAGCGCCTTCACACTTTACCTCTAAGATTAACTTATAAAGTAAGCAACATCAGAAAGTATC